AGGTGCAACGGGATTGAGCTAGCTAAGCGCATTTGTCGAAGCGGTTACACTTGCATCTTATATATGATGCCGCCATATCTTTCATCTTGCCCTCGCTGTGAGACTACCTCTTTCTCTCTATCTAGATGTAGCCTCTGTATCCAGATCGAAGAGACTCTTTTAGGTTTAGGATCGACTTAGGCCCAGAGAATCTATCTCATCTTACTATACCCTCAGACAAGGGGACTAGGAAGATAGATAAGGGTTGATTCTTGGGTCGTATCCAGAGGGCATGTATATCTCCATAGGAGTACCCGGTTAGGGGTAATGCCTATCTATCCCAGGCCTCATCAGCCCCATCGAGAAGGATAGAAGATAGAAAGCCATAAAGTATTTTTACTTTCCGGTGACCGAAGAGTCCTTAGACTCGTAGGGGTTTACCCGTAGAGTCGGTAAACTCGAAGAGCCTTAGAATCAATTACAACAGCTGCAGCAGAAGTAGAGGGATCAGCCTTAGGAGTCAGTCCCCCGACGTACCCAAGATCTTCGAAACATAAAAGTAAGGACCCCGATTTCATGATGAACCCTAGACCGAATCCAACCCTGTAATGAATAAACCCGTTTGTTACGCACAGGTCGCCCCTGAAACAGCGGAGGGAACACCTATTAGGGGATATCGGTATATCAATACCGATTCGATCCGAGATCTTGGAATTGGAATAAGTTCGGCAGCGGATCACGAAATCTTTGTGATCTTCTCTATCTAATGAATGGGGAGTCCGCTTTGAAATCGTCCGCTCCCGTTCAGTTCATGTGACGAACCGAACTAGGTCCCGAATTCTGCGAACTACCGGATCTAGCTCAAGATCTCCATTACGTCGTACGATATATCGATCCGGAGAACTTACTTTCAGTTGTAAGTCATCCATTCTGTTTCTATCTAAAGTGATGCTAGGCTGCTTCACAGAGGTGCGCTTCGCTCGGCCACATGATGAACATGTTTTAAGCTAACTACATGTCGAGCGCTTAAGCGGAGCTTGTGGTCACTCGTCCCTCGCTTGTTCCAATTCCAAAGAGCTTCAGATCTGATTCTACACTACATACGATATTCCATTCCGGCCCTCACTAGCTCTTCGCTTGCTTGGACAAAGAGCATGCCCGAGGGGGCTACTACGCTCACCGCGCACTTGCATTACCACCTGAGCTTCGCTACCGCTTCGCCCAGCTACTACGGCTACCACGAACTTGAATCATCACATGGCTGCTAAAGCAAGTTAAGCTTCACACGGCCCTGAGGAAGCCAAAAGACCCTCTCACGGCCGAAGGCTCCGCAACACGTTGGAGAGCTTTTAGATCCCGCCCTAAAACGCCCATTCCCCTAGAGTTCCGAAGTGATCCTCATTCTCACTGCAGCCTTCTTAAGCCGAAAGAAAGCCGGGCAAGAATCTCATTTTTTGGTAGTACGAAGGGGGAGCAGAATCGTATCTGGCAGTGGTTCTTCGGATCGATCACAGATTCTCGGCCCCGTCCTTTGGCTTCCACTCCAGTTGACCTCTCTTGTTTCCATCCCCCCGTGAGAAGGTAGAGAGCAAAACCAACCCAGCAAACCACTATTACTATGCCCCTATTAGTAAAGCATGTACTTCTTGCAAGGCTTGCTGAGCTTCTTTATGTGACAGACATCGCAAAAGTAGTCCGTTGAACGATTGCCGATCGAGGGCTTAAAGTATACTCTTTTTTAACCCTGATGGGTTTCACAGTCGACCATTTGATAGCCCTGTTCCTGAATATACAGAATAGGGCTTCGATGAGCCCTAGATGTAAAGTAAAGGGTTCAAGAACCCTTCTAAGCAATTAGAAGAGCGCGGAATTGGACCTCCCTCAAATAGATGAATCTGGGATTGATTGTGGAACCGAGCATATAGAACCCGGGGCGGGCAGTAAGATACGCTAGGCGGAGTAGTCGCTCTGAAGCAGGTTCTTCGACTGGATCAATGCATGTATGAACCCCAACAAAATCCCGAAGGTCTAGTCTAGAAAAAACCCGGATTTTGTTGGGTTAGCTTTTTGGTAGGAAAGGCGGTCACAGGAAGAAATGCCCTACCAATGAATAGATTAGTCTACTAACGTCAACAATCTCTTTCTTCATATACGATACCGTCCGCTTTTATATCCGAAAGTATAGATATGAAACAAAAAAGAAAGATAGATATTCCCATGGTAAGAATAGGACAGTTGCACTAAGGAAGAGAGCTAGGGATTTGATAAAGGTGATAGGACAGGGTTCCAAACCTGCTGCGACTACCTCTCTTCTATTTTAAAAGTAAAGGCCCACCAGAGAGAGGCAAGTGCTTTCATGAATGAATGCGATAAACCAATCAATCTTTTCGTTACATATCGGGGACAGGGAACCAGCCCAGCTAACTCGATTTCCCGAAGAAAAGAGAGGGCGCTCTTCCACTCCTAGCTCTCCCTCTCTATTTAAAAAAGTATATAGAAATGGTAGGCACTGGGAGTGAGTGAACTACCCGGGGAGAAAGGGGCAACCTCTCTATAGAAGGGAAAGGAAAGGTTTATCCGCTCATAATGATTGTAGAGTCTTTCCGGATTGGAGGTCTAATAGTAGTCACATCAAGTCCTCCCCCTCTTACTAAGGATAGCTAGCGAGAGGAATACTAATGATTATCCATGAAAGAAGGCCGGATGGAATTCAGCGAACACGAATACTAAAGATTCATGGGGACCTCAAAAAATAGGGGATAGAGAGCGCGGAACGGGCTTTCCAAGCATAAAACCCTACCTATACATTCCATGGCAACAGACAGAAGGCAGTTCTGTCGTTGTTCTTAACCCCAGGCCCATTTCCGTTCCCAATAATCTCCATGAAAAGACTACCATGATTTCCGAACAAACCGAGGTAGAGTCAAGGCATGAAAAAACTTTTCTATGATCCGGTTATTTCCAAGTACGTATCATCCGCTGCGTTATCCGCCGTCTCTGCGGCCGCCAAAAGCCTACCCTCTCTCGGATATTGAGTGGGTTGACCTGGGAAGAGATCCGGACGAACCTTCCAACAAGCAGAATAGAAGTTGACCACAAAGCCATCTCTATCTCTGTTGGAGGCTGCTACCCATAAGGCCATCTCGGGCATGGGAAAGAAAGGCGGCAGACAACCGACTGAACAGGGGAGCCTAAACGGCATTGAGGATGAGTCCACCGGTCGACAAACGGCTTCTATCTACAGGTGCTTTCATTATGGATCGGTCGACTTGTCACGATTCATTGCTCACACACAATTAGGTTAGGCAGGCTTGGGTAGGTGATCTGAATCGGCTATCGATACGATGCGGGGCTGATTTGCTGATCGTAACGAACTTGACTCTACCCCTGAAAAAAAAAAAGAGCGGGGAGACCTTTGACCTGGGCTGGGGAGGGATTGGGGTTGCTTTTCTTTAGGACTTTAGTTTGTAAAAAGGCTCGAAAGACCTACTTGACGAGTTTCCTTATGAGTGAGTTCGTAGGTGCCTTTAAGTCGAGTGTAGCGAAGGGATTCTCCTAAGAGAAGCTTTAGAGGGAATAGGGGTGAAACGACTTTTATGAGCTGTCTCAGTAGTGACTGTGTGATTAGTGGCTTAGCTGTTAGCTGTCTAAAAGCTACGGTCAAAATAAAGCCCTTTTGAAAATAAACCACTAATACGCCTTAGGTACTCTTTTAAGTCCGTATAAGGCGGAGGGAATGAAAGGACCTGCAGGAAGCTGAAAAGCCGTAGTGCGCTAGCGCTAGCGAGTTAGCGCAACAACTTAGTGTCTTGTTTTCTTCGCTGCTTCTTTTTTACTTTTTTTACATAAGGTTAAACGAAAGCGGTTGCTAATGCTTGTAGCTTGCTTCTGTCCTTAGTCCATTTTTGGATGAAGCTGTTTTGACTGCCGTATATTTTTTGAATCGAATACCTTCCTCTGTCATCTCTGGTCTGTCTCTTTTTGAGAGAAGATTTTCTACCCCGCCTGACTATGAAGAGCTTCGAGTCTATCGGGAAAGGATGTGGTGGTAACCCCCGCAGCTTTGTCTAGAACCGGGCGTCCAGCCGTGTAGGAAGACTCACCCTAGCCACTTTAGCGACCCCACCCCCAACTCTAGCTGAGAAGCACCCTCTATCCACTTCCCCTTTTCCGTGTGCCCAAAAGCCCGGTTTATGAGCCCCTTTCCGATTCCCTCACCCAATCTCATGAGAAGCAAGCCCAGCAGGCCCTGCCTTAACCTGTCCTCAGACAGCCAGCCCTCACCAGGCTGCTGGCATTGCTAAATGCTCCGCCACGAAGCAAGCTTTCCCGAATACGACAGATGCGGAAAAAGAAGTCGGAAGAAGAAAGTAGTTGGACAACTGTATACACGAGGGTACATTAGTATTCTGGGAATTGGCAACATTGACAGAAAGGGGAAGGGTAGGAATAAACTTTATTAGGTGTATCTCTACTAAAGTAGTCGGCCTAACCTTCGGTTCCCGTAACCAAGTTTTTCTTTCTCACTCCTTATGTACTTTTTCTTACTTCATCCATACTTTTTGACTTTTTTTTAATTTTAAGTGTGTTCAAAAAAACCCTCTACTTCTACTTCTAACTAAAGGCGAACAGCCGGCATTGCAAGCAAATAGAGAGCCCCCGCCCGTTTGAGCCGTTGCGAGCCGGAAAGTGGACCGGCTGTTTGAGTCGCGAAAGGGCCGCTTGCTTAAATTATATTATTTATAATAATAATCGATATAGAATATTCTATATCTATCTATAAACAATAATAAAATAAAATAGAAAAATCATTTTTTTGAATCCAATTGTTCATTCCTGGGAAGAGGAAGAAGCAGATAGAGCAAAGGCCTCCTCTTTCCATCCGCTCTTCCCTAAGTGAGCGAATTGCATGTAGAGATCCGTAAGGGCTTATAGTTTAATTGGTTGAAACGTACCGCTCATAACGGTGATATTGTAGGTTCGAGCCCTACTAAGCCTACCACCCCCTTCTCTTCACCTGATACAAGGCAGTCGAAGTACCCGCCACCCTGCAGATCTCAATCTAGCGACGGCATGTGGAACCACACTGCTGCCGCTGCCCTTCGGGCACGCCTCCTACGCTTATCACTCACCTACGCTCTTGCAGCATGCCCCCTTCGGGCAATACGGTGTAATACGCGAAGCAGCTGAGCCATAGCTCTTCGATCGCTATATTCTTGCGATAGCGAAGGCGTGGTTCATACTCTAAGAGAGAGAGAGAGTAGATGCGAAGGTTCGGATCGAAGATCTTCGCGAGACGGCCCTGGGGCACCATAGCATGTCGGGAATAAGGGGGGACATACTGGACGTAAGCGCTCCCTTGGTTGGGGGCTGCGCCTCTCCTATCTTTTAAATTGATGGATTCCCAGGTCTCTTTTATTCTCACTGTTGGCAGATTTTTGAAGACGACCTGGTCAGGGGGTTCAAAATTTCTTTTCTGAAGGCGCCTTCGGCACCCTAAGTTTGAATTCAAATTGAATTGCCCTTATTCCGTGCTTTACATTTTCACCAATTTCGACCTACCTTTATTTATTATTTATGGGATATTTTTTGGAGAGCTTTGTAACTTTTTCTAAAAAATTCTCTCTAGCTCGAAGAATGAGTTTGATTCTCCCTAGAATCATTTTTCAGAGGGCTTTTTTTTTGTTAAAGGACTAAGTAGAGAAGATCTCCTTGGCTCACGAGGTGGCTTTAAGTGATAGGGGATTTAAACTAAACCTAAAGGCTTAATATAATAGGAGGGAGGGGGGTCAAAAGAAAGTAAGGATATGGCAAAAGCATCTTTTTGGATCGAATGAGCTTTTGTGATAAATGGTGGAATTTTATACATGGATGTTTATGTAATGAACACTTTGGAGTGCTTGTGGATGGTGTGCCACATGGGTACTTTCCAGCTTCTCGAGGGCTGCGACAAGGGTTCCAAACCTAGCCTGTTGATTTTAGCTGAAGAAGTACTAAGCCGGGGCCTACAGGAGTTGGTATCATTGAAAATGATAACACCTTACCATGCTTCGAGATCGTGCCCAGCACTCTCCCACTTTACTTTCTCTTTGCGAACGATGTTATATATAATATTATTGTATAATAGCCATAAACGGAATCTTAAGAAGCTGCAAATCTTTCTGGAAACAAGTAAAGTAAGAAACTGATTGTAATGTTATAATGGCCAAAAGGTAAATTTCGATAAGAGCCAGTGCTTCCTCTCGAACAGCGCTACTCAGAGAAATTCCAGATCATTGAAGAGGAATCAAAAATGGTAGTTTTCCTATCAAGTACCTGGATGTTTTCTTGTCTCTCAAGAGAATAAATTCCTCTACTGGAGAAAATGAAAAAGAGAATCTCAGGTTGGAAAAGAAAATTGTTGTCCTCCGGAGGTCGACTAAGGCTTATTAAACATGTTCTAGTCTTCCTATGCACATGTTCTAGTTTTGACTTAATTAGCCAGCCTAGACTTCGGCTACTAATAAGGAGATAAGACCTTACAACTATATTGGATATGATCCCTTCTCTCCAGTAAGTGCAGTGAAGGACTCTCGCCTCAGCCGCCCGTTTGACTTATGGCATCATCGACTTGCTTTTCAATCTAAGCGATTTCATAACCAGAAAAGAAAGAAAGACCTCTCTTTCGGGATCAGTCCCGTCCCTAGATGTAGTAGTCAATCAGCGGGACATTCAAAGAAGCTATGCACCTTTACTGGATGTTAATGAAAGAAAGCCCTTTCATCCTAATCCCATCTACTGAAAAGGGGGCCGGGCCTAGCACGTTCTTTTTGGTTTGGGACACATAGGCTATTATATTACAGACGCATCATTAAAGACTTTTCGAAGCGCGGAATCCCAGAATGGAATCATTGCAGAAGAAAGTTATAACGGTTGGGAACCGGAACAGGATTAAGCCTTTAAGCATGCAGATGAGTGTTTGCTCTCAGCCCCAATCCTTCGGTTTCCGGATTGGAATAAGGAGTTCAGTGTTAATACTGACGCATCACTCTATGCCATTGGATGTATGTATGTTGGCGCAAGAAGGGCCGCTTGATCACCACTCCATCTACTTTGCAAGTAGACGACTTTCCGCTTGGGAATTATACAACCATCGAACCTTCTTTATCATGATTCGACCCATACCTAAGACCCAAGATCGAGCACCAGATCTGCTCATAACAACGTACCAAAAAGAAGAATGCGAAAAGTTTTTATTCTCCAGATTCGACTATAAACCAGGTAGTGAGGATGAAAAAAAAAAGCATAAGCTACCTCGTTCGTGCTCCCGTCTTTCCCGCTGCCATCTTCGGTGGATGCCCCCCTTTCACTTAAAGGCGGATAGGGCACTTAGCCAACTTTTAGATTGAATAAAGTTACTAAGCTAGTCACCTCACCTCTCTTTCTTACCCGCCCTTATTACTTATTAGTAGTAGGCAACCTTTCTTTCTCGCCTTTCTTCCAGCTTTTTCTAGATAAAGGTATAATAGAGTTGCGCTTTCT